TGTGCGGGCGGTGTGTTCAGTGCGGGCTGGGGAGCTGGGGCTCGGCTGGGAGCGGAGCAGATTAAAGAGAAAGCTCCGCTCTCCCGACCCACAAGGGCGTGCATGTAAGCAAAACAGTAATTTGCTCACACTGAGCCGGCGGGAGGCCGTGCGGAGCGAGGGGTTCTCCGCAGCCCGCCGCTGCTGTGCAACCCGCTCCCGGCTTACGCTCCATTAAACCGCGAGTGCAATTCTTCTGCTGGCTGGTTTGTGTGGATACAGTGTTCTCCCTCCTCCTCCTCCTCCTCCTCCTCCTCCTCCTCCTCCTCCTCCTCCTCCTCCTCCTCCTCCTCCTCCTCCTTCTCCTCCCCTCCCCCTTCTTCTTCCTCCTCCCCTTTCCCTCCTCCTCCTCCTCCTCCTCCTCCTCCTCCTCCTCCTCCCCCTCCCCTCCCCCTTCTTTTTCCTCCTCCTCCCCTTTCTCTTCCTCCTCCCCTTTCCCTCCTCCTCCTCCTCCTCCTCTGCTTCTTCCTCCTCCTCCCTCTCCCCCTCCATTGCTTTTCTCTCACAGTAAAACTTAATACTACAACTCCATTAAGATGTTCTATGCTAGCCGGGACCAGTTTGGCTCAATGAATAGAGTGTGTCGGCTTGCGGACTGAAGGGCCCTGGGTTCGATTCCGGTCAAGGGCATGTACCTCAGTTGTGGGCACATCCCCAGTAGGGGGTGTGCAAGAGGCAGCTGATCAGTGACTCTCTCTCATTGATGTTTCTAACTCTATCTTTCTCCCTTCCTCTCTGTACAAAAATCAATAAAATATATTTTAAAAAAAAGATGTTCTATGCTAAAAAAAAGTATCATATTTTTGGTTTAAAGTGCAGTGTTTCCTAAAAGTGAAGGGAATGGGGATGTGATGGACTAATTTACTGAATACCACAAAACCATTCCCAGGATCGAGGGGCTGGGCGTGTTCTGGTCACAACAGAAACGAGCCAGCAGACCCGGGCCTGCCAGGGCCGCTCGGAGGTCCAGGGAGGCAGGCAGCTTCAGTGCAAAGCGTGGAACCCCGCCTGGCCTGGGAAGTAGATATGGAAACTGTTCTTTGTTGTTGTTGTGAATCTGCACCAGAGAATGTTTTTCCATGCATTTTTAAAGAGAGTGGAAGGGAGGAGAGACAGAGAGAAACATCGATATGAGAGAGACACATCCATCGGTTGCCTCCTGTACGCACCCCGAACAGGGCCAAGGAGCCTGCAACCATGGTACGTGCCCTCGACCAGAATGGAACCCGGGACCCTTCAGTCCACAAGCCGGCGCTCTATCCATTGAGCCACACCGGCCAGCCAGAAAGGACAGACTTGAAAGGACTTAATATAAGGACAAGGATAACCTGAACATTTAGGCTTGTCAGGGCTGGAAAACCAGATCAACATAGATTTAGGGAGCACCAACAATATGCAAAAGCATTTTCCTTTTTTTTTTTTTTTTTTAAGTTACATTTCAGATTACCCCTGTGTATTAATAATTGAAAACTTATTACACTGTCTCATTGCAGTGTAGATAACACGAAGAAATCTGTTAGCATTATTTTCAAGGCATACGTAAAAGAGGATGATGGTAATTTCAGCGAGAAACACATTCTCTCTCCTCCCTGAGACATTAAGACGGCTTCCGCTTAGCACTAATGGGAAGATGGCATTGTGATCTGCCATATAAAAATGCAACAGGCAACTTCAAAGATTGCAAATGTTTTATTACATTCGCTGTGTATTTCTTTAGGAACTCTATTTGGCTTTAATATTTAAGATGTAGCACACTATCATGAATTATATATTCAGTATCTGTTTGTGGTGCCAGTGCTTTTTTATGAGAACCCACCGGTGGATATGTACTCTGATATATTCTTTTAAGTACTTCTGTGTACATTTAGTTGGTATCTGTCAACAGCAACTCAATATTTATAACATTGTGAATCATACAATTGAATAGACTCCATACTGAAATTAACATTAAACCTTTGTCTTAAGTAACCATTGAGCCATGAAGACATTTACCTAAGACTAATGGTTTCTGAAAATCATATAAATTAAATTTTACGGAAAGCTGCCAATTTTTGGTTAAAAACTCTTTGGAAATTCTTGAAATATTTGCATTTTCATGGTGCTTCATCCAGCATATGCTATTTATTCAATGTTTTCAGAGAGTCCTAAGACTCTGATCTTTTCTTTGGAAGACTAGTTCCTCATCTGAGACCCTACCTCTATTTTAAAAAAGGGTTGAAAGTAATAAAAGTAATGGCAGTGCTGTGTTTTGACATTGGGTACCCTTTTCCCTTCTTTAGCTAGGATTCAAGTTTTCTGTATCTGGCACACACCATTGCTAAAAAAATAAAAGAAAAAGAAAAAGAATGCCAGTCTTTCACCAGTGCCAATGGTGAAAATCGAGTTTTCAAGCAAAAACTTGAACTTTGGAGGACATATCTGCTAGCGTGAGCCTGCAGCTCCCAGTGCTTGTGCTTTTTGGATGAGACTAGCAGTGATAGCGAATGTGATTATATAGTGAAATGTGCCGATATTTGGGAGATCAATGGACCAGTGTTCTTGAAAAGACTGGTGGGTGAGGTTACAAAAGCATTCATCGTGTAAAAGATTCCTTCAGGGTGTAGACCCGTGGATTTTCACAGAACAGTGTAGAAAGTTCCTGGTTATGGTTTCTCATTCCACATCACAAGTGATCGTTGAGGAAACTACCACTCATGAAATGCTGGTGTGATAGCGAAGAAAGATACCTGTAACTATATCACTGCTCTTGCCTTTTCAAGCTCCATGTCTGTGTGAGCCGGGTTTCCCATATTCCAATGGAAAGAACACACTGCCGCAGGTTGAGACTCTGGCCACCTATTCAGGCGAGCACTCAAGAGATTTGCAAAAGTGGAGAGCAGTTCGACTCTTCTTAATAAGTTTTTTGTTTTAGAAAATGCAATTTTCTTCATCAAAATATTTATTACATGTACTGTGTTTGTTATTTTTGAAAGAAGCAATAACAGATATCTTTTTCAATTTCTACTACAGTAAACATTGCAGATGTAATCTATATATAAAATGAAAATTTTGGGGGGTCCTCAGTAATATTTATGAGTGTAAAGAGGTTTGAGGTAAGAAGTTTCAGAATTGCTGATTCTAAGGAGTGATTCCATATCTGGAATGTACACTGAGTGGCCAGATTATACATTCAGAGATCATAGTAACCTGGCCACTCAGTGTATGTCAGTGAGAGGGGATGGAGGAGCTGGCATTCTATGCTAAGAGACTTGCACTTTGCAGCCAAGAGTAAGGAGTCAGAATTTTTTAAAAATATATTTTTATTGACTTCAGAGAGGAAGGGAGAGGGAGATAGAAAAATCAGTGATGAGTGGGAATCATTGATCAGGTACCTCCTGCATGTCTCACACCGAGGATAGAGCCCACAACCAGGACATGTGCCCTGAGCAGGAATCAAACCAGGACCTCCTAGTTCATAGGTCGACACTCAACCACAGAGCCACGCCAGCTGGCTGAGGAGTCAGAATTGTTGAGCTGAAAAGTGATATGAGAGTAATCTGGAGGTGACAGATGCATCGGGGAAGAAGTGGGGGTGGAGTAGAATGGAGAGCAGGTGGAGCGCATGAGCAGAAGGGCCCCCGTGAGGGGTTGGGTTTGGTTAGGCTGGGCAGTGTTGACCTCACTACTGATGGGATAAAGTAAGGGAGCAGCCGTAACTGGTTTGGCTCAGTGGATAGAGCATCGGTCTACAGACTCAAGGGTCCCAGGTTCGACTCCGGTCAAGGGCATGTATGTACCTTGGGTGCAGGCACATCCCCAGTAGGGAGTGTGCAAGAGACAGTTGACCGATGTTTCTTTCTCATCTATGTTTCTAACTCTCTATTCCTCTCCCTTCCTCTCTGTAAAAAAAACCAGTAAAATATGTTTTAAAAATTAAATTAAGGGAACAGTCAGGCCTTAGGTTGAGCTTAGATAAGTGGGGTCAGGAAAGTTGAATTACACCCACGTTTTTGTAGCGCTGCTTGCGATCAAGCATTTGAGATTGAGTCACCAGGTAGAAACAGCCAGCAGCAACGGACCCACAACTCAGACCAGGTGGCCTCCCTCCTCCGTGGGATCTTAGGGGACCCCCTTGCTTCAGACGATGAAGAGTTCTTTATGAGTAAGACAGTGGTGATCTGGTTGCTAAACTTCTCTATTTTGGCTAGGTAGGTTTTATATCAAAACCTGATAAATGTATTGGCCGTGATGTGCTTAGCACTGTACCATGGACTCTTGTAGTTATTATGTGTGTGTGTGTGTGTGTGTGTGTGTGTGTGTGCGCGCGTGTGTGTGTGTGTCTATGTCGATGGTTTTTAAGCTCTATTAACCCAGGTTTCTTAATTGCCAAGACTTATTTACAGCATTTCACAGAAAGTTCTTTTCCTATGTAGAGCAATAAAATGTTTAAAGAAGTTATGATTAAGATTTAGCAATGAAACTGGACTCAGTTCCCCTCCCCCTGTTTTTTATTTATTTATTTATTTTTAAGCGGCACAATTAGTCCGTGGCACATGGAAGAGAAACATTTGTCTCATAATCCGCCTTAGGATAAGCGTGTTTCATAGGAATCCCTCAACGCCAGCCGTGTGGGTGACTGACCAAGGCTTTTGAAAAGGGCTGAAAGCATGCTCTTCACAGCCACCCGATTAAATGAAAAACTGAACAGGATGTGAACGCAGATGAACGATTCTCTGAAGAAATAACGATGCAAACGAATCGTCAGAGTGTGAAATCATTAAAAACAAAACATGTGTGGGTTGTTATTGAAATTGAATTGCCGGCTTATCTATTTTCTTTTGTAAAGGAAATGGCCTGACTAAAATTTTGGAGGCCAGTGTTGTAGGACGTATATTGTACCATGATTCATTTCTCACATAAAAGCTGCTGTTCATTCCCCTCTCCCCCCTCATGGCATTAACACGCGTGTTTTCCTCGTGCAGGAGAATACATAAAAAACTGGAGGCCACGGTATTTCATTCTGAAGACAGATGGCTCGTTCATAGGCTACAAAGAGAAACCTCAAGACGTGGACCTACCTTACCCCCTCAACAACTTCTCCGTGGCAAGTAAGTTCACGGCTCCCTTTGTATGTCTTTATTCGTGTGACCTCACGTGTCAGGTCTCTTTTCTGTGAGACGCTGATGAGAAAGCTGAGGTTTGTAGTTAACAGCAGAGAGAATCTCAGCTTCGATAGAATTTCAAAGAGGGAGAGAGAGAGAGAGAGAGAGAGGGGAACATCAGTGATGAGAGAGAATCATTGATTGGCTGCCTCCTGCACGCCCCCTACTGGGATCGAGCCCTGTAGGGATGAGCAATGATAGGTGGTCTTTGGTAATTAATTCTTTAATGTTTTTAATAGTGAGCACTTGAATGTGATCATTCCCCGAATGTATGCTGCAGGTTAGAAATTCTTTCTATACTATATCCTAACATTTACCAAATGCAAACAAAGCCCTTCGACCTGATTGCTGGGTGGACCTGGTTATTGGGTGTACCTGGTTGCTGGGGGGACATAGTTGGGGTGGACATGGTTGGGGAGGATCTGGTTGCTGGGAGGACACGGTTGGGGGTGGACACGGTTGGAAGATGTCACAGTAGCTCCTAGTGCCTTTCCAGTCCATTTCCTCTCACGATCTTAGAGCATGTAAGTGGTTGCATGATGAGAAAGAAGTGATTTCCATCAGAAATTATTTTTCACCAGAGATTTTATGTTTGTAGTTAAACTTTTCATCCTTATAGACATCTAATAAAATGTTTGTGATGTAAACTTCTTTTGAAATTATGTATTTGCCTGAACATAGCACAGAGTAAGCTGAAAGACAGTGGTAATGATAATGAACTTAGATATTATTGCTATGTTATGACCAGACACTTGAGACAGTTCAACTTACTGATTATCAATGAAAGGGTTTTTATGTATTGATTCTGAAGTAAAGTGTTTTAAAGTTGTGTTCAAATAAACCTGCCTAATAGCTAATGGAGATAAACCTGCCTAATGGAGATAAAATCTTTAGCTGGACACGTTTCTTAATTTTGGTTTTGGCTGTATGTTGTTACCTGTTAACTACATTTGGAAAAGATATGAGGGAAGATTGAAGCTGAAAAATAATAATAAAAAATACAGCAAAATAGCAACAACAAAATCCAAGATAACAAAAATCCTTCAATTTTATGAAAGTAATTTTACCATTATATAGAGCCCTTGTCTTTTCTATGACTATCTCTTTTTTTTTTTTTAAAGAATAAGATTAAATAATAAACCAAAGGACTTGTGAAATCATTTGAATGATAAAAACACTAACTTAAAAAAATAAAGAAAATAAACAATCTCTCTATATCAGTGGATGCTTGGGTTTTCCATTAAAAAAAAAAAATGGATTAGTTAAGGAAATTATTTTTTCCCACTCAAATCCTCATTAGATATTTATATACTCTTTTCAGGAGAAAATTGTTTTTAATTCTATTATCAACTCTTGTATTTTGAATTGATGTAACACATTTTATTCTGAAGCTCTTCTGGGCAAGCATTTGCTTTGAAATGACAGGAACTGGCTTTGAGAATATTAACAGCATTAATTATCACGTGCCCCCTACAGCCATTGCGGTGCCTCAGTTTCCCTGTTTTCCTAGCGAATGCTATTAGCTTGTCTGAAATAATTTATAGAAGTATAGAACTCCTGTATCTGCTGATCAAAAATGCAGCATTTTTTGACCTTATGAAATTTCACACCCCAACAAGTTTTAAAGACATCCTGTATGTCACAATCTGCCCACATCTGCTCCCGCACTTCCACTGGCAGCAGCTGAAATACAGGCTGCACCGGGGTGGGGGGCGGGGGAGAGACCCGTCTGGTGACTGACAGTCAGCTCATCCCCAAAATAAATATTAGTTGGCATCTGTACTCTTTACTTGTAGGCAGTTGACTCAAACGAACATGTTATAGACCAGTTGTTTTGTGTTTTTTTTTTCTCCCAGAAGTGTATTCACATGGATCTTACACTAGATACACGCTTTTAAATGAATTATTCTTAAAGCTTGATTTTTGATTGAAAAATAACACAGGATTTAGACAAGCATCGTTGCAAAGCTGTGTTCACAAGTATCTTGAGCACAGTAGTTCGTCTACCCAATAGTCACGGTCTTTAACATTTGGCAGTTATCAGTCCAACTCAAAAGTAGAGACAGCTCCTCAGTGGAGACCTGGCACATTTGCCCATGTGTCTTGGGGACCCACCTTCTTGCTGTTGAGAAGTGCCTCGCCATGTCCAACAGACCGCCTAGAATCTCCCTTATTCGGTGTTGCACATATTGGCTCACACTGACAGGGTCTCCTCCTTCCCTGAAATGTTCCTCCAATCCCTTTTTGAAAAAAATAGGTTGGTCTGCCTTTCTAAGATCGATTTTAAATGTGAAATGAAGTGTTTTACTCATTAAGCTATTCTTCTTCTTCTGTTTGAAAGAACATAAGGACATGATGGGTCTTAAACCTACCAAAAACTATCCTTACCTCTGAACAAACATTAGACCCGATTATAGTCATGACGAAAAACATGCTGATTCCTACTAATGCCCCCACTGTGGCTGTTCTCGGGGGCAGAGGAATAGCTCTGACTTGATTCCTACTCTGACATATCACATGATGCCATCTAGGATGAGAACCTCAAAGGATTACGAGGAGTGAGAGCAGCTCAGTTCCAGGGCTTTGTCCATCATTAGAATCCTACCAGGCACTGAGAGAGCATTAAATAAAACTTTCGTCAGTAGGAACTTGACATCGACCCTGGAAGACAATCACATAGAGCACACAGCAATGGGAGGGAACATGAGAGGAGCTGCCACAGTGAACGTTCTGGAGAATAAACGCTGCAGAAGTGGAGAGGGTGGGTCAAGGTGAGCCAGGGTGACCAGCTAAGAGCTCTCCGGAGCTGAGGTGGACACGGGCCTTGAAGGACAGGTGCTGTGCAGGTCTGGGGAAGGAGGACATTTTCGGGAGGTCAGCAACAGACACAAACAGGAAGCCTGGGTTTGAGAAGCAGCTTCTTTTGTGAACAGTACAAGCAGCATCCTAGATGAACAGAGAATTCGTTGGAGAAAAATAATTTAAGATCAGAGACGTTTTAACCAGATTGTGGAAGGTCTTGAATGCCAGTTGGATTTTTAAAAAAATATATATTTTATTGAGTTTTTACAGAGAGGAAGAGAGAGGGATAGAAAGCTAGCAACATCGATCAGCTGCCTCTTGCACACCCCCTACTGGGATGTGCCCGCAACCAAGGTACATGCCCTTGACCGGCATTGAACCCGGGACTTTTCAGTCTGCAGGCCGACACTCTTATCAATTGAGCCAAACCAGTTTCGGCTAGTTGGATGTTTTTTTGTTTGTTTGTTTGTTTTCTGTTTTTTAAACATTTTATTGATTTTTTACAGAGTGGAAGGGAGAGGGATAGAGAGTTAGAAACATCAATGAGAGAGAATCATCGATCAGCTGCCTCTTGCACACCCCCTACTGGGGATGTGCCCGCAACCAATGTACATGCCCTTGATCGGAATGGAACCCGGGACCCTTGAGTCCGCAGGCCGACGCTCTATCCATTGAGACAAACCGGTTTCGGCTGGTTGGATGTTTTTAATGGCAACCTATTGGAAACTCCCGGAGGCTCTTGTCCCAATGAGTATTGGGTAAAAGAGTCTTCCGGGTCATGGTGAGCAGTAGAGGGGATCCTTTCAGAGACAAGGAGTTCCCTTCCCCCATGTGCCAGTCATTCAGCAAGGTGTGTGGTCATGTTCTCCTTCCTTTCCAGGCCCACGGCTTCCATCCCACTTGGGTTCTTCCTCAAGTCCCCTGGATCAGTTTGATGGTCCCCTAATTGATCTCTTGCCTTCAGATATTCTCTCTGGAGTGTGGGGAAGCAATGCATAGATTGCATTTAGAGTCATCTTCCAAAAAATGTTTCTCGGCAAATACCACCTTCTTGCTAGGAACTATCTCAGATTTCCTCCATTTTTACAGAGGAAGATGAATTATTATGTTTGATGTAGTGGAGATCAGTAAATAAACACTTGATAAAATTATAGCTATGTTTATACTCTGTATATTTTTAGAATTCCTTTCTTTCCCTCTATTCTCTTTAATGTTCCACACATTTTTCGCATACATTGCTACACACAGAGTTCCTAACCCTGTTTTCATTTTAAGTAATTTTTAGACCATTATACTTAATCATTTAAAGATGTGGAAGGGAAAGAGAGAGATAGAAACATCAATGATGAGGATCATTGATTGGCTGCCTCCTGCACACCCCACATTGGAGATTGAGCCCACACCCGGGCATGTGCCCTACGCAGGAATCAAAGCATGACCTCCTGGTTCATTTCTTGACACTCAAACCACTTTGCCCTGCCAGCCAGCCAAGGAGTCGGAATTTTTGAGCAGAAAAGTGATAGAAGAGTAGTGATGTACATGAACACAAGTTGGAATCATAGAGGAGTTCTCACAAGTAAATTTTAGCATATCTGTAGGAGATCTAAGTTCTAGTGACTATTGAGAGAGTTTTCATTATTGAGGGTGTATTGTGTTCTCAGCATTGTGCCAGGTTCTGAGCGGAAGGGAAGGAGATAGGAGGGAGGGCGACCTTTCTCTGAGCCATACTGCGTGCCACGCCCTCTCACTTCCGTTTTCTCATTCACCCTCTGCAGTAGCACCCCCAGGTGAGCCTCACGTCTCCAACTTAGAGAGACAGACCGAGGTCCTTCGATTTGCTTCCGGTCACCCACCTGGCAAAAGGCAGAGCCACCACCCTTGGCACGGGTCTTCTCAGACGTGTTTTGTTCAGTTCAGAAGAAAGTTGATGATGAATATGTTCAGTGAGAGTTCAGGAAAGTGAGGAGAGAAGGAGGCAGGGGGTGGAGAGGGGACACCACTTACAGCCCATGTGTGGGGAGCAGTGACCTTTTATACTCAGTTAATTACCAACGGGTCATTGCAGCTCAGTGTTTCAGCTAAAAATGTACTGATTGTCTAGCACAGTGGTCGGCAAACTCATTAGTCCACAGAGCCAGATACCA